AGCTGAGCATCTTAAAGGGTTAAAATCCCTTCCCACGGCTACAGAACCGAGCAGCTCTGGCATCAGGAATCCACAGGGGAAAAAAAAAATTCCCAGGCTGGCTGGGTTTGCTGCAGGTGTTGGTCCCTGACAATGTTTTGTCTCTGCACAGAATGCCATGAACCTGCCCCCCGACAAAGCCCGGCTGCTGCGCCAGTACGACAACGAGAAGAAGTGGGAGCTCATCTGTGACCAGGTGAGCAACATCTGGAGAACATCTGGGAGCTGCCTGGGCTGAGCAGGACCTTGCATCTCTGTTCCCACGAGTTTCAGGCACTCGTTCCTCCTGGAGCCTTGCAGGGATAACCCCAATCCATCCTGGGTTCTGTCATTCCATGGTTTGTGCCGCTGGTGTTTCTCACAGGGCTGATGTTGGATCTCAGAAATTTGGGATTTTTTTGAGCTTTCTGTGCTTTCTGGCACTGACCCCCCTCCCCAGGAGAACACTGCTTTTGATCTGAGGCCTTGGAGAAGTTTCCAGATTGGAGTGATGGAGTTAAAATCACGGGTGTGGAGTTAAATGGAAGTGTGTGATTGCACATGGTGAAGGGTTTGGAATTTGGGATTTTATAATATAGGGACAGGATGGGGAATTTAGGGGTGTCCCAGGCTGTGAGCTCTGCCCTTGGCACCCATGGGTGCAGGTGGAGAAGGGCTGAGTGGGGAGCAGGCTGCTCGGGGGGTGCTGTACCTTTATTTTTTTTTTTTAATTTTTTTTTTTTTGGTCACAAATTCCTCGGTGGAATTCCCAGATTTTTTTTCCTCAGCACATTCCCAGGGAACCTTTGTGGTGCCACTGACCCCAGCAGAGATCCTGGGGGTTCCTGCCAAGGATTTTCCATCACTTTTTATGAGCTGCAGGAGCTCTGGTTTGAGGGAAACACAATGTTGGGAAAACCACGGGGCATTCCAGGGAATGTGCCCCACCCAGGGGTGGGAAATGCTGGGATTCAGGGAATGCAGGAGGATTTTGGGACATTGGTGGCTTCGTTCATGGGCTGGGTCAGGTGAGGGGGACTGGGAGGTGACAGGAGGCTCAGGGAGGATCAGAGCAGCAGGGATGGAGAGGATGGAGATGAAGGCTCAGTGATCTGGGATTGGAAAAGGCTCAGCACCCCTGGGATGGGATCCAGGGATGGGATGGGATGGGATCAGTGGGATGGGATTAAT